TGCTATCAGTGGGGTAGCACACATCCCATTTTATGGCGTGATTATACCAGGAATAGCGATGGATATATCATGCTATTTGATGCACAGGGGGGTGCTTTGTAGGATTGCACTTGGTCAACCTGAAAAATGTTTATTTATTGTAATAATCAGCCAAGGTGTAACCAATGCCCTTGGTAGTGGCCAGTCTGAGCGCTAAATTTATAATAGGTAGACTTGACTCATGGAGAAATAGTTGATCAATGGTTATGTTAAAGCAACCTCAGAAGCAGTTTTTCACCCTATTTTTGCTTGAAGTTTTTGCTGGCGTGCTCCATTGCGCTTCATACGATTACTCGGTTAACATGTCATGATTTGCAGGCATTTCATGGTACTGTTACTGTTGTAGCTAACTCGCTACCGATATTTTCAATTGTGCAGATGGCTAGTAGAGCAGTAGTTTGTACGATTCCGTCCATGTAGCAGCTTATTCACTGTAGTCTTAGAATTATTGCGCTTGCTTTGATAAAAGTTTGATTCACTTCCAAGGGATATCAGACATTGTCGTCAGATGGTCAATTCGGTTATTTTAATTGGCTTTAGTGACTGTGCCAAGGGTCGCAGCGATCGGGAATTAGGCGAAACTAAGTTGCGAATGTAAATGATCAGATGAATATTCTTCATATTCCTGTTTTCTGTTTCTTTTAAGTAAGTAGTTTGACACTGTTTGCCTATTTGTGACTGCAATTGGGCGAGATTGCAATTTAACTGCTTGTCGTCGGCTCTGCATGATCGCAGCGGTCAGCAGTATTGAGGTCAATAGTACTTAAGGTTTCACCTGAAGCTGAATTTTCGGGATGTGCACTACAATTTCCTTTTAGAACTCGAGTATATTAAACCAGAGAATGCGAAGAAGCGTCCTATTAGACAGACTGGAATAATTTTATCCGATGTATTCCTGATCTGATCAGTGAATTTTTGCATCATCCTAATAAACTATTTTATCCATGTTTAGCCTGTGATCTGTAAATGTTTATTTTTATGATATATCTGGTTAACTCCAGAGGTTCGTAAAAGTAAACCAGTAGGGTAAGCCGAATAGAAATGAAAGTAATAATTTCTAAGGCTCACTTCGAAACTCTGCTTTGTATAACTAGATGCTAATAAGTCTTCTTATTACATAATTGTCGATACGAAATGGAGCTCTGCTAACCATGGAGTCAGAAGACCGCTCAGCTTTATGAATGAATGTAAGCCATTACTCTTGACCCCATCAGTAAATTTTGTTTCGGATTTTGCTGAACCTGAAAAGATTAACATTGGTTTTGTGGCATTATCTTACTTCCTATCATTCAGAGAGTAAATATGGTTGAAAGTCATGATGTACTTTGTCACATTATTAATGGAACGGCGAAAAAGCTGTCTGCTGTTCAACTGTTTGAAAATGCTTTTCCTGGCAGGTTCCGTTTTCTTTTCTATCTGAAATATCTTAAATACTGATACAACTCTGACTTCTCAGTCTGATGAAGCAGCGGCTATACACCTACGTTCTCGCGAATGCTCTATTCCAGACCATGTCGAGACGCGTAAGGCCAGCGTCTGGTCTAAAAAAGCCCATTTCCGCAACTTGTACCCGGGTTCGAAGCTTTTCAGTGATGGTCCACGACTCATGACCATAGGTAAGAATGGGGATAATGATCGACTTGGACATGGACAGATTAGTTTTCAGACTGAGCTCTCCTTCATTCACACTGAATCGGGTTAGCTGACACAGAACGCTCTGGCTACTTCAATTCGCCGGTTGATCACTTCTTCACCCTGAGTTCCTTCTTAACCTGCTCTACTGCATCTCCTTAATCTAAAGAGAGCAACGGGCGGGAGAATGAGAAAGCGCTAAGCTTTTCCTTTTACTCACGCATTTCGGCCACGTCGCATTCGGCTACAAACCTTTTTAGGGACCACTGTAGGTCACTTTCAGAATATACGAATAAAACAAGGTCATCTGTAAGTCATGCACTCATCGCCTTGGCTGCTCCTGACTATTCTATCCATGTACATCTGAAACTGAAGAGGAGACGCAGCCTTGGCGGAGACCAGTGCCAACGTTGAAGAGTTTCGATTTAACGCTGTTTACTCTGACGCAGCACCTGCTATCAGAATGCAGTGATTGGATGGCCCTTGTCAGCTGGCCATCGATCCCATATGTTCGCAGGCATGCCTATAGACTGTTATAGACCGTGGGATCCCGCCATACGCTTTTTCAAAATCTTCAAAACATATGTACACCGGACGGGCGTACTCCCACGATTTTTCAACAGTCTAGCGCAGGTCAAATATGTGGTTAGACTGGGCCGCAAGCAACACTGCTCTTCTGGTATCTTAGGTCAGTTATTCCGCAGCGCCTCCTTTCTAGCACCTTTGCTTAGACTTTACCTGGGAAGCTTATTAAGCAAGTGTTCCGATAATTGAGGCACTCCCTTTGGTACCCATTTTTGACGAGGAGTGCTATTTCCCTCATTGTCCAGTGAACTGGTGTCTTCCCTGTAGCCAGTGCAGTTTGATAGACGATGTAAGCCAGTACATGCCTTGTTCACCTAATGCTTTGAGCATTTCAAGGTGGGATTTC